GAGTGCTCTGTGACGTCATTTATGGCAAAATGGCGGCCGTGCGCGGTGACGTCATTTACGGCAATATGGCGGCCGCGAGGGGGTCACGTGGTACGGCAGGCAAGATGGCGGCCGGTGACGTCATTTACGGCAATATGGCGGCCGCGGGGGGTCAAGATGGCGGCCGTACGGAGTGACGTCATTTACGGCAGCAAAATGGCGGCCGCGGGGGGGTCACGTGGTGTGGGGGGGCAAGATGGCGGCGGGCGCCGAGTGACGTCATTTGCGGCAATATGGCGGCCGCCGGGACCGGGATTTTTTTGGGGGTTTTGCGGGGGTTTTGCGCGGTTTTTCCGGGTCGGCTGGGGTCGGAATGGCGTTCCGGTTTGCGTGGGGCCGGTGGCGGCACGCGTGGGGGTTCGGGGGGTGTGGGGTGGGGGGCGCCGTTTCGGTCGGGCGTCTGGGGGGGACGCCTGTGCAGTGGGGTCCTTTCTGGGGTGTGTCGCGCTGATGACGTCATTGGGGGTGCGCCGCGGGTGCAGTGCCGGGGTGTGCGCAGCAGGGGGCGCTGTGCATGCAGTACCGGGGAGTAAGTGGCAGGTGGCGCTGTGCATGCAGTACCGGCCGGCGAGCAGCAGGTGGCGCTGTGCATGTAGTACCGGCCGGCAAGCAGCAGGTGGCGCTGTGCATGTAGTACCCGGTTGCAGACGGCAGGTGGCGCTGTGAGTGCATGATCTATATGTAAAGGGCATGGGGTGGGGGCAGCATGGGAGGGGGTGTGTATGTGGGTGGGGACTACTCATTACCATTGATTGCTGACAGGTGGGGTCCCTATATACTGTATATAGTAAAAAGAAGAAAAACTATATGTCCGGTGCAGCAGTAGGAAATTTCAGGCTCCCGGGGAGTAAATGGTTTGTTTTTTAATTTTTTTTTTTTTTTTTTACTCCCAGGGAGCCTGAAAGTTTTTACTGCTGCTTTTTTAATCTAAAGCTAGAAAGGAAAACAAAGTTAGAAAGACAAGAAAGGAGAAGGAGAGAGAGAGAAGAAGAGAGGAGGAGAGGGAGAGAGAGAGAGAGAGAAGAAGAGAGAAGGAGAGGGAGAGAGAGAAGAAGAGAGGAGGAGAGGGAGAGAGAGAGAAGAGAGAAGGAGAGGGAGAGAGAGAAGAAGAGAGAAGGAGAGGGAGAGAGAGAGAAGGAGAGGGAGAGAGAGAGAAGGAGAGGGAGAGAAAGAGAGATGTGAGAGAAGAAGAGAGAGAAGAGAGAAGGACAGAGAGAGAAAAGAGAAGTAGAGAGAGAGAAAAGAGAAGTAGAGAGAGAGAAAAGAGAAGGAGAGAGGGGGAAAAAGGAGAGAGGGGGGAAGAAGGAGAGAAAGAGAAGAGAGAGAAGCAAAGAGTTAGAAAAAATAGAGGGAGAGGAGAAAAGATAGAGAGAGAAGAGCAGAGAACAGGGACAAAGAGAAAGAAGAGAGGAGGAGAGAACAGACAGAGGGAGCAGACAGAGAGGGAGAGGAGACAGAGAGGAAAAGACAGAAGAAAATAAAACAGGAAGACAGAGTGAGACAGGAAAAGGAGGGTGGGAGAAGTGAAGAAGGACAGGAGTTGGAAAGGAAAGGGGTTAGGATTAGAGTGAAAGTGAAAACTTAGGAGTGGGGTGAAAAAGGAAAAGACTAAGAGAAAAAAAAACACAAACCAAGGAAAAGGAGAACACTGAGAGAAAAAGAAGCAAGAAGACTTAGATTGACAGTGATAAGAAAACAGAAACAAAGGGTTAGAGATAGATGGAAGTTAAGTTAGAAATAGAACAGTAAAGTGAGGAGCAAAAGGAAGAAATACAGTGGAAAGAAATGACAAAACCACACCAAAAAAAGACAGGAGCCACGGTGGGGAAAGGAAGGGCGGGGGTATCTTTATTAAGGGTGACTCAACTTTATTGAAAGAATGCTTTTATTTATACATCAGCAAAATACATGGAAACAGTGTATACAAGTGCAAGTGCAGATACAATGCATAGACACACTAGTCAAAGTCTAATTTACATACAGAGCAATACAGCAAAATGAAGCAGTTAATGCAAATACAGAGCAGCAATACAGAGCAGCACAGCAAAATGCAGCAGCTAAGGCAAATGCAATACAGAGCAATACACATATTAACACAAAGCAATAACCTTTTTCTATTTTCATTAGATGTTGATTTATTGTGACAGGAAACCCAGAACAACAAAAGCACACAGAAAACAACACTCATCTACCACTAACACCCCCTTCAGCTTACACACAAACTCACCATCACTGCCATCACAACTGCTAAATTACTCCACAGCAATCATTGGTCCTCAGGAACACGGTTCCCAGGTGCCTCCAAAAAATCCTCCTGCCTGACAAAAACCCCGGTCCCTGGACGGTCTGCGCCCAAACTTTGGTGATGAATGTTGCCTCGCAGACCGACCGGGACCCAGGAAAAAAAAAACCCAGCCGGGGGGAAAAAAAAAAAAACCCCCCGGCTGGGGATTTTTTATTCTAAATTTAAAAATGATTTGAAAAACCTGAAAAGCAAAAGTCATATAAGGTTACAACCCTTCAACACACACACACACCTCCTTCAGCTTACACACAAACCCACACTGACTCACACCTCAACTGCTCTGCTAACCCCCGGCACGCATTCGCGCCGCTCCTCGGGAACGGGGTTCCCGGGAGCCTCCAAAAAAATCCTCCTGCCTGACGAAAACCCCGGTCCCTGGACGGTCTGCGCCCAAACTTTGGTGATGAATGTTGCCTCGCAGACCGACCGGGACCCGGGAAAAAAAAACCCAGCCGGGGGGAAAAAAAAAAAAACCCCCCGGCTGGGGATTTTTTATTCTAAATTTAAAAATGATTTGAAAAACCTGAAAAGCAAAAGTCATATAAGGTTACAACCCTTCAACACACACATACACACACACACACACCTCCTTCAGCTTACACACAAACCCACCCTCGCTCACACCTCAACCTCTCTGCTAACCCCCGGCACGCATTCGCGCCGCTCCTCGGGAACGCGGTTCCCGGGAGCCTCCAAAAAAATCCTCCTGCCTGACGAAAACCCCGGTCCCTGGACGGTCTGCGCCCAAACTTTGGTGATGAACGTTGCCTCGCAGACCGACCGGGACCCGGGAAAAAAAAACCCAGCCGGGGGGAAAAAAAAAAAAACCCCCCGGCTGGGGATTTTTTATTCTAAATTTAAAAATGATTTGAAAAACCTGAAAAGCAAAAGTCATATAAGGTTACAACCCTTCAACACACACATACACACACACACACACCTCCTTCAGCTTACACACAAACCCACCCTCGCTCACACCTCAACCTCTCTGCTAACCCCCAGCATGCATTTGAGCCGCTCCTCGGGAACGTGGGTCCCGGGAGCCTCCAAAAAAATCCTCCTGCCTGACGAAAACCCCGGTCCCTGGATGGTCCGTGCCCAAACTTTGGCGATGAACGTCGCCTCTCAGACCGACCGGGACCGAGGAAAAAAAAACCCAGCCGGGGGGGAAAAAAAAAAACCCCCGGCTGGGGATTTTTTATTCTAAATTTAAAAATGAATTACAAAACCTGAAAAGCAAAAGTCACATACACAAGGTTAAAACTAGTCAGCATGTGCTCACACACACAGAGACGAGTGGACACAGACATACACAGTCATGTGCTCTCACACACGCTCACACGCTCTTCCTGCTTACAGGCTCGCTATGGCCCTTACTCGAGACGCTGAAGAACGTGCTTCGACGCGTCTTCTGGCTGCCGCTCCATGACGTCGAATGGTAGATTCTGGGGAAATCGGTAGCCTCGAGGACCTGTGAGACGACAGGAATTGGTCAACTTGTGGCTGACAGCTAGGAATTTTCCCCACTCTGGACCAATACATTTTCTACCCAATATGCCATAAAAGACAGATGAACAGTAAAGTTTTTACAACTGTTCTACCTAACTATGACTACATGCCAGGGCAGGGCAGCTCCAATCATAAGTGGTATATTATAAGTACATACAATATAAGCAAACGCATACAGTGCAAGTGTACATACAGTGTAAGTAGACACAATATAAGCCGACACAGGTACACGCAATATAAGTATATACAATATAAGCCTATACAATACAAGCCAACACAGGTACACGCAATATAAGTATATACAATACAAGCCTATACAATATAAGCCAACAAAGGTACATGCAATATAGGTACACACAATACAAGCCAACACAGGTACACGCAATATAAGTATATACAATATAAGCCTATACAATATAAGCCAACAAAGGTACATGCAATATAGCTACACACAATACAAGCCAACATAGGTACACGCAATATAAGCCAAGACTTGAGATAACTCTGTGGAAGATTAATTGTTGGGCCCCATACCCTTTGAAAAGATGGAACCTACAGAACAACTGCAGTCACTTGAGGAGGGTGGAAGACGCTCCCTCTAGAAGTCCAAGATAATGGCATGGAAAAAAAAGCACTACCAAAGCTGGTAGTGAGAAGGAAGATGGATGAGAAAATCTTGTAATCCTTTCCTGTCTCAAAGAGTAAAAATGTAAAGATGCCAGAATAAGCTATATCTGGGAAGGAATGTGAGTAAAATACTGCCTATATGGCACAAAATAGTGCCTGTAAAGCGTCGAGATGTAACAAAGGCCTATGACACGGAAGACAATAGACACAGACTACATAACACGGACGACACAACATAGACACGGATGGCATAACAGAGACACGAGTAAACTGCCTAGCGCTTTCAACTTATGGACCCGAGATTTGTAGCGCAAGATGAGGCAGAGGCCGATGATGCCAAAGGAAAGAAAGCCCTATGATGATGGCACGTGATGATGAAACGTAACTCATTAAAAGAACTTAGTGCCAAAGCAGTTAAGAGGATGCTCAAGAGGCTCGGTGAGCCTAGAGAAGGAAGCCGACTGCCGGGTGACCGTGGCCGTAGCTCCGGACCTGAAAGCGAGCTCCTCGGGGGAAAGATCCGTGACGACGTCGAGTCGAGGAAGGCGGACGACGCAAAGTTCCCGAGAACGTGGAGATGGGTTGGAACTGCCCTGCCCGGCAAAGGCTCTGGTGAGGCTGAGGAGAAACCCTCTCCCTTTACTTCCAGAGAGCCTGTCCCGCTACAGACCTCTCCGCTAAGCTGACGTGAAATTGCCCCCTGTGATAGTAAAGGTTTTTCCCCTTCTCCCGACCGCTGGCCCCGACACTTAGCTTTTGGAAGAGGAGCGGACAAAATCCATCCTCGGTCGCACGTGGACGTTGATATGTTCTCCGCGTGTGCTTCGGTGTTGCCGTTTCTAAGCTTTGGGTAAGAGCCTCCTCAGGGTACCTAAGACAAAACAGAAAAGGTGACTATTGCCCTCAACAACAGTAATCCCCGGGACTCCTCCGCACCACTCCCCCGGCTCACCTCAAATCTTGATTTGACTCCGGAGGCTGGCCAGAAGATACCTGCAAAGAGAAAAGGTACATGCTTAGCATGCTGCTGCATAACATTCACCTATGAGTCAGCCTGCCTAAACGCCGACTCACCTGCCCTCCTCTGTTCCTTGGCGTACCTAGGGCAGCAACAGCACCTGCAAAGTAACAAAGCAGAAAAGCATGCTGAGATACTGTGAAAACACAACCTCCCAAATCTGACAAATATGCCACACCGATACCTTAAGCTCGCACCCACCTGGCACGGATATGCTCGGCTAGGATAGATTGCAAGCGGACCACCTAAAATAAAAAAAAAAGAGATGCTTAAAGCTGCACCAGAAACTGAGACCTCAGCAATAACAATTGCTTCTGTACGCTAGTCAATGCTCACCTCGCCCACTTGGCCTTGACTGCTGCTCTCGGCTTTAACTTCCTAAAAAGAGAGACAAAGAACAATGCTGTAACAGCCACCATTTATGCTTCCTCTACAGAAACAAGTAGTGCCTCACCTGCTTGGGGGAATCCCCTCACCCGGGATGGGGCCCTCTGGCACAGATTTAATCCATCTGAATCTGAAAAAAGGTTAGGACAAGAGTCAAACTGTTGCAGGATAACTTAAGAGCTCCAGATATCTTGTGTCCATCTACAAATCCCATCTAGAGTCCAACTACACCCCACATTACAAACTTCAAGTCCCCGGGACTTCTCCTATTGCGCCGGGCTATGCGGCAGGGCAGCGCAGCTCCGGCACAAATGTGTGTGCTGACACCCGTGACGGGACGTGACAGACGACGGGGACGCGACATGGACAGAAATCTCCTGGCAAGGAAAATGGCTGCGACGACTGAGAGAATGCAAAAGGAGATGACCAAGGTGAAACTGATGGTGAGCTGATGAGGCTCAGAGAACACTGGAGGAAAAAGATGCTAACTGAATGATTTATTCCAAGAACTGCAAAGATGGATGCCCGAGAATCCTACGGCCAGAAGCCTCTACCTGCCCTCACGTTCTTACAAGTCCTAGTCCGCCATAATGGATCCTGGCGGGGTATAGCTGTCCATACAGCTCAGCACAAGACCTGAAAAAACAGCTGACTGGATGCTTATAAAAAGAGATGAGAGTCTGAGCTCCCGAGTCAAAAGTTCTATGGCATGGGTGCCAGGCCAAGGAACGCTGAGAGCACAGATGCTAAGACTGGTGCCAAGGTTTCTGGTAGGCCCCTCAAAGGGCTAAGATAAAAGACATGAGACAGCTAAACAAGACATAATGCACAACAGACAAGTGACACAATACACACCGGGACTGCTCTGCCCTGCTCACCTCAGCACGGTGATCAAAAGTGAGATTTTGCTTTTAGGGGGCCTAAGGGGCCACTTCTTGGCTACCCTCGTCTCCAGAGCCAACTCAAAACCTCCCCCATCCCAGGAGTGCCGACCCAGCACCTCGCTTTCATCCCCTCTGTGGGTCGTGGCCCTCTACTTATCTCTCGGACATCCGGGGATGCCGGTCCGTGTCGGGTGCGAAGAAAGGCCGCCTCGCCGGCTGGGAAGTTGTGCTGTCACCGGGCTGTTGTCTCTTAGACAGCTATATTAAAGAAAACCAAACATCAACGCCTGACCTTGGCACCACATCGGCCAAAACCACACAAGTCTGCTACTCACCGTTCTTCTAAGAAGGCCTGGCACCTCGTAACCATAACCCTCTGCCACAGATGTAATTCATCTGCACCTGAAAGAAAGGTAGAACATATGTCAAACACATGCACGATAACTCAAAAGCTGCAAACACCTTATGTCAACCTAGGAATAGCATCTAGAGTCCAAGTACAGCCCACATTACAACTTTCAACTCCCCGGGGCTTCTCCTATTACACTAGGCTATGCGGCAGGGCAGAGCAGCTCCGGCACAAATGTGTGTGCGGACACCCGTGACACGGGACACGACAAACAATGGGCACAAGACACGGACAGAAATCCCTAGGCAAGAAGGATGACTGCGAGGACTGAGAAGATGCCAAATGAGATGACCGAGGTAAGACAGACCGATGGCGAGCTGATAAGGCTCAGAGTGCCCTGGAGAAGGAAGATGCTAAACTGAATGTTTTAGTCCAAGAACTGCAAAGATGAATGCACAGGAGCCCTACGGTCAGAAGCCTCTACCTGCCCTCACATTCTTACAAGTCCTAATCCACCATAATAGAACCTTGCAGAGTGCAGCTGTCCATACAGCTCAGAACAAGACCTGAAAAGACATCTGACTGGATGCTTACAAAGAGTTGCAATTCTGATGCCTGTCTGAGCTCCCGAGTCAAAAGTTTTATGGCCTGGGTGCCGGGCCAAAGAAACGTGGAGATCGTGGCTGCTAAGAATACTGCCGAGGTTTCTGATAGGCCCCTCAAAGGGCTAAGATAAAAGACATGAGACACCCAACCAAGACATAATGCACGTTAGACAAGTGACACGATACACACCGGGACTGCTCTGCCCTGTGCACCTCAGCACTGTGATCCAAAGTGAGACTTTGCTTTTAGGGGGCCTAAGGGGCCAATTCTTGGCTACTCTCATCTCCAGAGCCAACTCAAGACCTCCCCTCCCCGATCCCAGGAGTCCCAACCCAACACCTTGCTTTCATCCCCTCTGTGGGTCGGAGCCCTCTACTTATCTCTCGCACAGCTGGGGATGCCGGTCCGTGTTGGGTGCGAAGAAAGGCCGCCTCGCCGGCTGGGAAGGTCCTGCTGGCACCGGGCTGGTGTCTCTTAGACAGCTATATTAAAGAAAACCAAACATCAGTGCCTGATCTTGGCAGCCCATCGGCCAAAACCCCACAAGTCTGCTACTCACCCTTCTCCTAAGAAGGCCCGGCTCCTCGGGTGGCACGCTTCGGGAACGCTCGGAGGCCGACGCCGTCGTCGTGGGGTACGCCTGGGTTAAGAAGACAGGAGGCGATGTGGCATTGCTGAAAACTGACTGGACCCTTGGTCCTCCTCCCTACTTCCCTGACTCACCGCAACTCCTCGGTGGTTCCTGACTGCTACCCGGAAGACGGGGCTCATCAGGGTGGAAAATTCGGTCCGTCGGCCGGGTGGGGATGGGAGCTTGGCGTGCTCCGAGTGGATTGCCTAAGGCACAAAAACGAGAATGGAGACTTAGACTTGCCCCCTTAGAATTCAGACCTCAGCAACAAGAAAGGCTACTGCTCACCTTGCTCTCTTGAACTTGACTGCTGGGATCCAGCTATACTTCCTAAAAATAAAGACAAAAAACAGCGCTGTAATAGGGTCACACTTGACACTCCCCCTGCACAGACAAATGGTGACTGACCTGCTTGTGGGAACCCCCTCACCCAGGATGGGGGGCTCTGCCATGGATGCAATGCATCTGCACCTGAAAGAAAGTTAGAACATATGTCAAACACCTGCAGGATAACTCAAAAGCTACAAACACCTTAGGTCAATATAGGAATAGCATCTAGAGTCCAAGTACAGCCCACATTACAACCTTCAACTCCCCGGGGCTTCACCTATTACACCAGGCTATGTGGCAGGGCAGAGCAGCTCCGGCACAAATGTGTGCAGACACCCGTGACAGGGGACAGACAGGACGTGACAAACAATGGGCACACAACACAGACAGAAATCTCTGGGCAAGAAGGATGACTGCAAGGACTGAGAAGATGCCAAATGAGATGACCGAGGTGAGACTGATGGCAAGCTGACGAGGCTCAGAAAACACTGAAGGAAGAAGATGCTAACTGAATGATTTATTCCAAGAACTGAAAAAATGGATGCCCGAGAATCCTACGGCCAGAAGCCTCTACCTGCCCTCACATTCTTACAAGTCCAAGTCTGCCTTAATGGATCCTGGCGGGACATAGCTGTCCATACAGCTCAGAACAAGACCTGAAAAGACACCTGACCGGATGCTTCTAAAGAGACAAGAGAGTCTGATGCCTGTCTGAGCTCCCGAGTCAAAAGTTCTAGGGGATGGGTGCCAGGCCAAGGAATGCAGAGATCACAGATGCTAACAATGATGCCAGGGTTTCTGACAGGCCCCACCAAGGCCTAAGGTAAAAGACATGACATATGCAAACAACACAATACACAAAAGACAAGTGACACGATACACACCGGGACTGCTCTGCCCTGCATACCTCAGCACTGTGATGAAAAGTCAGGCTTTCCTTTTATGGGGCCTAAGGGGCCGCTTCATGGACACCCCCCACCTCCAAAGCAGACTCAAAAACCCCTCCCAATAATTCCCAAACCAGCACCCTGCTTTCATTCCCTCTGTGGGTCGTGGCCCTCTACTTATCTTCTGGACATCTGGGGATGCCGGTCTCCGGTGCGAAGAAAGGCCGCTTCGTCAGCTGGAAAGGTCCTGCTGGCACCAGGCTGGTGTCTCTTAGACAGCTGTATTAAAGAAAACCAAACATCAGTGCCCGATCTTGGCAGCCCATCGGCCAAAACCCCACAAGTCTGCTACTCACCCATGCTCCTAAGAATGCTCAGCTGCTCGGGCCGCACGCTTCGGGCACGCTCGGAGACCGAGGCTGTCGTCACAGGGGGTGCCTGGGTTAAGAGGAGAGGAGGTGATTTGGCATGGCTGAAACCTGAGTGGAACCTGGCTCCTCCTCCCTACTTCCCCTACTCACTGCAACTCCTCGGCAGCTGCTGAAGGCCACCTGGATGGCACCTTTAAATAGAGTTCAGGGTTTCATCACCAGGTCCTGTAATGCATCCGCAGGGCTCACACGTGCAGGGAACCCGGTGCATCGGCCGGCTGGTGACAGGGGCTTGGCAGGCTCCGAGTGGATTGCCTAAAGCACAAAAAAGAGAATGGAAGCTTAGAGCAGCACCAGAAACTGAGACTGGAGCAATAACAGCTACTTCTCTCCACTGCTCACCTTGACTGCTGGTATCCAGACTTAGTTCCTAAAAAGAAAGACAAAGAACAGAGCTGTAACAGAGTCACCACATACACTTCTGTTGCAGAGACAAATGGTGCCTCACCTGCTCGGGGGAAACTACTCACCCGGGATGGGGCCCTCTGGCACGGATTTAATCCATCTGAATCTGAAAAAAAAGTTAGGACAAGAGTCAAACTGTTGCAAGATAACTTAAGAGCTCCAGATATCTTGTGTCCATCTAGAGTCCAACTACACCCCGCATTACAAACTTCAAGTCCCCGGGACTTCTCCTATTGCACCAGGCTATGTGGCAGGGCAGAGCAGCTCCAGCACAAATGTGTGCAGACACCTGTGACACGGGACAGGACGTGACAAACAATGGGCACACGACACGGACAGAAATCTCCTGGCAAGGAAAATGGCTGCGAGGACTGAGAAGATGCAAAAGGAGATGACCGAGGTGAGACCGATGGCGAGCTGATGAGGCTCAGAGAAACCTGGAGGAAGAAGATGCTAACTGAATGATTTATTCCAAGAACTGAAAAAATGGATGCCCGAGAATCCTACGGCCAGAAGCCTCTACCTGCCCTCATGTTCTTTCGAGTCCTAGTCCGCCATAATGGATCCTGGCGGGGTATAGCTGTCCATACAGCTCAGAACAAGACCTGAAAAGA